TATATATATATATATAAACGGGTGCCGAGCCTTGCCAACAACGTCCAAGTTGGACAAGAATCAAAGGATATGAAGATAAAACAAACAGTACGTGAGCCTGAGAGTGATTGTAGATGAATCTGAGCGGTTGTCGGTTGTAGGTTGCTGTCGGTGCGCAAAACACACTATGGGAACGAAAGTGCAGCTGTATATTTGGGATGTGGACATGATATGCGTATGACCCTCACGCATATGTATATCTTGTACTGCATATTTATGTGACTGATGTGCATATGTGTGTATATATATGTGTGTATGCGTATATATATCTTGTACTGAGTATATATGTGCGTATGTTTGTGCTTGGCCAATGCGTATGTGTGCGGATGCGTATATAGATATGTGCATATACATGTATATATCTTGCGTGTACGTGTGTATACCATTTGCAAATAATCTCTCGTCCGTAAATACATCATATATATATATCCGTATACTCCTATTTATACATCATATATATATATATCATATAAATGTATATATACATCATATCCAAATATATATATATCTTGTGCGCTCAAAGACCTTGTAGAACATATGTAGGCGTATATATACATTCTGTACATGTGTGGTGTTAATTGTGTGTATATATAGTTAAGTACTATGCATCCACATATAATATACTTTGCATGCACAACCCTTTCCTACGTACGCCTTGGGGCTATATATACCTTGGACTGAGACGCACGTATGATATAATGCACCGTACATAGAGACAACATATAAATCAGTAGCTAGTGTGTGTCTGAACGTTACTAACATTGTGTCATGGTTTGAATGGTACTAACACCCTGCAATATCAGTCAGTGAATACTACCCTCCTCCTGACACCCCATCGTCCGTTGCAAATGAGGTTCGCTGCACTGTCTCTTTAATTCCTTAATATTGGGTGCTTGTTATACTAATCACTACCGCACTCAGGCCAGAAGTATGTCTCTAATGATATCACTGGCGAACGGTATGATCTCGGCTGACTGTGATTTCACGTCCACCTCCACAATATCTCGGCCCACCGCCACCTCAGCGTACACCCACACGCCGGTGCTTAGTTTCATCGTACAGGACAGGACATCCTGCACACAGGGGAACACAGTGGACCACAACGGAGCGTGAAGAAGTCAGTGAGTTGGCATGTTGGTGTAGATAGAATTAAAAAGTAGTTGGCATGCGGCTAAAAATAGAACCGCGTGCGCACAAGTGGTATGGCATCAATATGAACAAACGAAACCCATGGACGTGTGTCTGTGCGTGCACAGACACTTGTGTTCCAAGCCGAATCAGAGACACACACACAACACCCTCGCAAGAGGTGAGCGCGTGAGGCGAATAACAATCGTACTTACGAAGGGCCCGTCCTCTCGATCGGAGACTGTGAATATGTTGTTACTGCTGAGCTTGTCCTGGATCTCCCCGAACCCGCCCTGATGAGAGAAGTGTAGGATATGAATAGATGAGTTCAATACTCGATATATAAAAATGATAACAAACATGAAAAAAAAAAAGTGACAGTTTGTGAGAAAGAATAAGAAAACAGCACGTTACTCTTCACTCGCCAATTTTTAGATGTGACTGACGGACTAGAAAGCGCCCAGAGCACGAATATATATACATAGTACATACATACATATATATATATATAGATAGATATAGTACATATATAACATACCTACATACACGCATACATATATATAAATATATTTACATATAATATATTATATATATATATACATACATACATATACATATACATATATGTATAT